GAACACAGATTTCTTCTGTCGCTCTTCTATTCCGGCGCGCGGGTTGGGGACAATAAGTCCTAAGATTTCTGCCGAACATCGATTCCACCGGGGATTTATCAGTAGTTCAAGTAGGCGAATATAAAGCGATCCAGTTTCGTTTGTAAAATTCCCGTTCGCTGCCTTTGTAAGCCTTGTTTTACTGTTTGTACGGCACGTTCTGCTAGACCGTTTGATGCTGGGTGTTACGAGGCCCATTTAATATGTTAGATTCCATTATTGATGACGAATTTATTGAATTCAGTGCTAATAAATGGTGAACCGTTGTCTGTGCACAACGGTTCTGGAATGCCAAACGTACCAAATGAAGGGCGTAGTTTATTAATGGTGGCTTCCGATGTCGCTTGAGCAACTTGGTGTTAATCAATCCACTTAGAATGTGCATCAATAAGTAAAAGGAACAATATCCCATTAATCGGTCCGAAGTTGTCAGCGTGAATGCGCTGCCACGACTTATCGGGCCAACGCCAAGAGTGCATTGGACAGGGTGGTTTATTATGTTGATTAGCCTGACAAACGTCGCAGTTCCTCAATACGTTTTCTATGTCTGAGTCGATCTCGGGCTACCAAAAGTACCCTCTTGCTACGGCTTTCATTCGTGCCACACCGAAAAAAGCGCGTAGGCAGCGGTCGTTAAGATGCATGTGACAGTGAGAAGCGACAGCAACTTAAACAAATATCACCTGGGTTGTCCCGATGCTTCGTTCATCTAACCTTTAACATTTGATGATGCAGTTGTTGAACGGGCAGGGAATACAGCTGATTAGAGGTTTAACAAAGTGGTGTGAGGGACATTCGAGACGAAGTGGTGAGCTAATTATGAGACAACACTGTAGTGAATCCGAAGTTGGGGACTGTGTACAAACGGTGTACCACAAGTGAGTCCCAGAATGGGCCAAGAATTAAGGCTACTCTCTGAGTTACTGACAACCCTGGGTATCAAATTCTAATTCAAAAACAAGTTTGCGGAATAGTGTTGAAGTTGATAGGATATTTAAGGAATTTTCAGGACGTTAACAAGTTGGCCACAACGATGCATGAGGCCAGTGGTTCTCAAACCAAATTCAAAATGAAAGAGGAAAGCAGACGACAAGGAACATCTATTCCAATCACGCATACTAGCCATGCCAGTATACGAAAAATGCTAAAAGAAAGAAATGGAAGTGGTGATGGCGTTTCACTGATGACTAAGTGATACTGTCCGTTTGCCCAATCGGTGTATCCCACCTGCAGACTGCCACATCCTATGGTTATGTTTTGGAGGAAGAAGGCTTCTCGCTAGCCCCTGAGTTGGTAAGACTGCCACTGAGTTGTCTCCTGTGGGTGGCTCTAAAGGAACTAGGAAAATACCGCCGAGTAATTCAGTGGTAAACTACAAAGGTACACAGACAAACTTTTCCCAGTTTTCTGGTGATGGGTATCGAAGCAGGATAATAGGACAAACGAGTAGGCTATTATGACTGTTACACCAACAGAACACAACCATCCGACGGTTCAGGAAGATCCGGTCCGTAGCTTTAAGGGTCAAAAGCGTGCCTTGTAATCTGAGGGGGTGGGTTCGAGCCAAGATAGGAGACCGAGAGACCGTCGCAGTATCCCTAGCCCAGGTGTGACTGGTGGTGGTAGAGCGGTAGCGAATCGTCGGTTCTGCGCACTGTTAATACGATTTTAAGGAAGGTCTCAGAACATTTTGACTGCCGATACTTATTCGCCATATCCCTTAAATAGAAAGTTACGTACAGTGACGGTGCATAAGCCTTTGGGTTAGGTGAAATCCAAGGAAGATCCGAGAAGGCAGCTCAATCGCTTGATAATAAGTTACCAGGAATACTATTTCAGGACAGACCACACACAAAAACAGTAATATAACAAACCTTAGTCGCATGCGGTGGAGGGAGTGAGTTGGCTCAAATTAGAGGAAAGCTCATTTGAGACGGCTGATATCCGGAGAACAGAAAAACTAGCATTTGAAAAATGACTGTGGTGAAAAGTATGTGACATCGGAAGATAAAATGAGAACAAAGGAATGAATTCAGCTGTTTTGTAAGGAGTTAGGAGAAACGGACCCCAGAAGAAGTGGGCACTTTGATGTGAACGTAACGGAGAAATGGAAACTTGATACTGGTGGTGACATCCAGGCTGAAGTTGGCGATCTATACTCACGAGGTCGCACAGATGGTGAATTGCTCAATGGAGGGCTTTTGCTTTTGGAAAAGCTGTACCGGTACGCAAGTAATGCTAATTCCAAAAAGAGTAACGATCGGAGCGCAGAAAGAAAACGATTTCGGACCTAAGGCCCGAGGCTGGGGAATCACGGCTATGAGAAAGTTGTTATTTCTAACCAGGATGCAGAATATAAGAGTTTCAATGGAAGATGTAACGATACAGAATAGGATTAGAGCGGAATCAAGTGCCAAAGTAGAAGGATGTAAGTGAGCAGATCAGTACAAGTCAAACGGGAACGCAATACGATTGGTGACAATTTTTAGCCAGGTTACATGTCCAAGTAATAGCTGTACACGTATGCACGCTGCTGAAACTTATGCACAAAAACTGGTGCATTTAGTATGTGATCCAATCCATTAGACGAAGGAAGGACTCAACTACCGAACCCACACGAATTGCGCTGGAACTGCTCTTGCAGCTACGCATGCGCAGTACATCCGTATGTTTCTAACCTGATTGAGAAACGAAGATGGATTACCGCAGATCCAGCGGTCAGTGAGTGACATGCATCGATGGAGTGTGGGATGCAGACGAAGAAGCTGTTGTTCGCAGTCGAGTGAGAACTAATCATTCAAGCCTAACTCAGAATGTGATAAGAAGGCACATACACTTGATGTGCGGCAAAGGCCGCTTGTGGGATCTCCGCACTATCTAACTGAAGTTATCTTGCGAATATAAAGGTGAGATGTTTAGCAGTTCAATCCACTCTCACATGGAACCTGGAGTACATAGCAAATAGAGCAAAGATGGCGCAATAAACTAATCGCTCCAACCACTGAATGGGCCGGTGGCCGGTGGCCGAGTGGTTGGCACGTTTGCTTTCCAACCATAAGGTCACCGGTTCGAATCCGCGTAGGGGTGGGCGTCCTCGCGGTATACTCAGCCCGCGCGCGACTGGTGGTGGTCGCGCGGCAGCGAAGCGCCGTTACGGCGTGTAAGCTGACACATTTCATTTTCATTTCATTTCACTGAATGGGCTATGGAAGCAGAGACGCTACGAGATTCTTGATGTTTGCAAGTTGCGTTGTCTGTGAATTGCGTAGGACAGTTTCATTTTCCTGAATAGGGACGAGTGACAGTACCACTTAGCATGACAGAGAAGAGCCAGAGTGAGACATCACTCAGTAGTTCAGTTGGGGGTCCATAACAAAGCATCAGCTTAGTCCAGCCCTATATTCTACACCAGTTTTCCCTGTCTCACCCTGATTGGCAGTAACATCAAACGGTAAAATTTCATCGGACTTCCGTACTCGGATGACGACTGACAAAGGGAATGACAAGGAAATGAAGGTCATGAGTTAGGCCATAGGACAATATAGACTAAATGTACCCATGTATTAGGTTGTTAAGAAAGTTCCTGCAGTTTTTGATGTCTCGTAGATCCTATATGTCGTTCTGAAGCGCGTTTCTGGCTCTATCCAGTGCTTCTTCTTTCAACAGTCTAGAAACTGAACATAGAGCTAAGAAAAACCATTGAGATTAGCGGAGAAGAGGAAGTCATCGCGTCATAATCATCGTGGCATAATAGTTGAAGGTCAGCAACATACTTCAGCTACTATGCGGAAGGAAGAAAGGATCATTTTGACAAAAAGTAGAACAAAAGATTTCACTTTGCTTTTCACACGCCGATTTTTTTCTTTTTTGTCAATGTTAATGTTTGAAGTATTGAACACCTGAATCAATACAATTCTGTACACAATTCTTCCACTGATTCCGGTTGCAGGTCATGTCTTCAAGAGTGCTAAGCCAATGGCACTCCTCATCTTTGGGTCCGCATCCTGGAAGAGATACGGGTCCAACAGCGGCTAGACACGACGTCAGCGATTGCATGTGCCATCGCCAAGTGGAAGGCTGACCCCGATGCGGTTGCCTCCAGCCAGGTCCTTGACGAGCGAATAGAGCGTGACGCGGCAGACGCTCAGGTGCCATGCGTAGGACGCGACCGAGCCATCTCAACTGGCGCAGCAAAACCAGTTTGCTGAAGGGAATACTCGCATTCCCCAAGATGCGAAGTCAAAGGTCATTACTGTTGACTCGATGTTGTGACCAAACACGAGCAATCCTACTTAAGCAACCGTTATCGAAGGCAAAAAGACGACGCATGTCTTCCATGCGAATCGGCCAGGACTCGCACCTGTACAACAATACTGAGCGAACTGATGCACTGTAAACGCGGCCCTTTAGAGAGAAGGAGACGTCGCGACGACACCACAAGTGTCTCAGATTGGCCAATGCTGATCGGACTTTAGCGATACGAAGAGAAACTTCTTTGCTGATAGTACCGTCAGCAGAAACACAGCTCCCAAGATAGACGAAACTTTCTCCCTGTTCAAATTGTACACCTTCGAGAGTGAGTACGGGAGCAGGTGAAAGGCAATCCTTGAGCAGTACTTTACACTTCGATAGGGCGAAGCTCATGCGGTGAAGAAACACGGTAAATGCAACACCAACCTCAGCATGATGCACCCAAACAGAACATAAACCTCACCAAAAGAGGAAGGGAGTTGTGGAATCTAAAATTAACGTGATACCAACCAGAGTTTGTCTGCGAGTGTTCCATTTACCGAACATTATAATGAAATGAGTTGGGGATATGAATTTGGATGGTTATACGTAACAAGGAGAAAACTAGGTCAGAATAATGGATCACTTCACACCGAAAAGGTACTATAGTTAAGGAGGTCGACAAAATTGTGCGGGCTAGAGAGTATCGACGGATCAAATGAGATAAGTACCTTGAGAATTGACCGCGGAAACCACTGCTTGATCATCGGAGTCCCACAAGTGGCGCAAGACGAGCTCGTCGGAGGGCAAACGAATACGCACACCGACTGTGCGTAAAGAGAAGAACAGCCCAGTGACCTTTACAGTAAACAGGCGACCCAGGAGATTTTCAGTAACCGCCCCACTCAGTCCGTATCGCTCAGCTCCAGGAGCGCGACCAAAGCGAGCGTACTTCGCTGTGATGTGCGGTATTGCGGATGCTGGACTGGTCATCAGACCATGACCAAAGGGAGGGTAGGTTGCGGAGCACCAATGGCGAACTACATCCGCAATGGGTGAATCTAACATAATGAGGATAGCAAATATGGAGCCTGAGACGCAATCGAGTCACAAATAGCCATTAAAGAAAGTAAAGAGCATGATCGAAAATTAGAAATGGACACAGTTGGACCTGAGTAAATGCCAAGTGGGGTCATCAATTCGGTCATCGCTATCGCCTCGTGGAACATCTTTCCATCTACGCTATCTACTGCAGACTTATCACATTCGTTGTTTTAATCTAACGGTTTTACTTAACTGAACCACTCTCAGGTTATTAATGTTATCCTACTCTGCCAATAGTTTGACAGCATTTTGTAGTGCAGCACCTCGAAAGCTTTTGTTTGAATGTGATCACAAATCCGGAAACACTTTCAAATGGAGTGTGGAGAAAACATTTTGGCAACAGAAAAATATCGCACTGATTGTAAAGTTGGACAAAATGGTAATAGAACTCGTTCTTTCGAACAATGTGCGTTCATTGCTGGGAAAAGCCGCTGACCTCACGGCAGCGAAAGGAACATCAAAACACAGGTATTATTACATAATAAGATAGCCCATTGCACTCCGATGTCGAAGAAGTATCATCAGCGGATATCGTGCAATTAGATCCGATCGCCCACGTACGCCAGAAAATCGTGGTGGTGGTGTCATCATGTGCTTTAACCAACTCTGGTGTAACTCAGTAATCCAGCAATTCATTTACTCGACAGGCCCTATAAGCTGTTATCTAGGTGAATTCAAGCTCAAATTTCTAAGTGGCTTTTAATCCGTTGTTATCGGAAACTTCTACATTAAACAGGACAGACCATGTTCCGAGCTGAGGTCTTCAGTCGATCGACTTTTCTCGATGGTAATGCGCTGTCAGCTTTGTTGCCAGTAATCTCAATAAATGTGGAACAACGTTCTTCAAGTGACTTGATCTGGCAGACAAAAAGTACAGCTTCTACAAATAAAATTCGCTTGTTTTTTTTGTAAAAAAAGTACGCACGCCAATGAGTTATTCGGACCATTGTATACTAAGAGTTTGTACTATCATCTACAACAGAACTAGCGATGCTGCACTGACGAAACGACTTTTCAAGACCATCCGACGTTATAATTGCTTGGAAAAGATCACACGAACTCAAGCAACCCTTTCCTTAGCCAAGTATTTTAGTCTATACTGATTAAGACCAGTTGATTTAATGCGAGCATCTCACGAGTTAGGTTATTTTTCGTTTCCACCCATGCTACCCTGTCGAAAAAATCTAACTGCGAACAAACAGACTTCCTTCACCCATGCTGAAATAACTCACATCAAAGGCCCAATTGTAGATAGTCAAAGCTGGAATGACAGTGTGTACACTGAAAGAGTACTGAGTACTGCAGTGGTCTCTGGAGGCCGCTGAATCAAGTACGTGTTAAAAGTAGTCAGTTGTGCAGCAGCAGTGGATGTGGACGAACTCACAATGTCGAGTTTATGTCCTCTCCGTTGAGCATCTTTTCATTTCCTTCCTTCATTAGCTCAGGTCCAACCGCCCTATTTGATCAACATGACGTCGACATGGAAGTTAAAAAGTCAAATAAAGCTAATGGCTCTGATGCTTTAAAACCTGTGATTCTGAAGCAATGTACCGATCCCTCACAGTACCCACGAATGGGATTTTCAGCAAGTCTCACGACCGATGTCATCCCCGACACATGGAGGTCAGCTAAAATAACGCCATTTCCTAAAGTGGAATTATAAAAGTATCGGTCAATTGCATGTACTTCTGTGCTTAGAAAGTCCTTGAAAAGCTACTAATCCCGCGGATTTCAGCGGCTTCTCGTGCTGAAGTCTACCAGTTTGCCTTCACACCCCCAGCGCCCTACGCTGGATGCTGTCACGTACCATGCGCATTTAGTAGCGTTTGCGTTGGGTAAAGGTGTAGGTTCATAGGGCTTCTTTCTTTTGATTATGTAAATGCTTTCACAATACATGACCAATTTGTGTCCATCTAGTTACGCTATTCGTACAGAGTCCACCTTGATGTTTGCGAGTTGTTGTGTGACTATTTTACAGATCGCACGCACCTAACTTAGTTAAACGGTAAGAGCTCCTCTGTGCGCCGCGCTAACGGTGGCGTTTCGCAGGGTGCAATCCTTTCACTGTTCTGCTGTCACCCACCTGAATGGTCGCATAGTAAACGTACTCTCTTCTGTCACAGAGTCTTCCTCCACGTAGCGCAGTCATCATACACTCATTCGAATCGGAATAACTGCTCATGTTCAGTGGGCATATTATTACGGAATTATTTCCAACGGAAAGTGATTTATGCTACCCAAGTTGTTTTAGTGCGCTTCGTGCTTCATCCAGACGCGCCCCTCTGTTGTTGTTAACAGTTTTCACTGCCGTGACACTATGGCTAATCAAGAATTCTCCGCGCCACCTGGTGATCCTAGAATTACATCCATAGGATCATTTCTAACGAAACTACGACTCAATATGTGGTTTCAATTGCATTCGCCTATCGCTTGCACCTTCCGCTGTCAGCCACCCACTACAAGCCACGTCCAACGGCTTTGTTCTACAGGAACCAGGGTGGATCAATAAGTTAGCGAAACTCCGTGTACGTGTGTCCTCGTTGTGCACATTCGCCTACGGAAACCGACGTCGAGAGTGCGACTAGGACAACGAACGCGAGCGTCACTCGCTCTCTAACTCACGTGACTAGACAAGGACAGCGTTCGTTTGCAACAGCGGTCCTCAATAATATTGAGCCCACATAACCGCAAATGTGGTAAGCAGGAGTGAATACGGCCAGTTAAGCGAGACATTATTTGTGAATTTTGCGGCCTTCCGTACCGCCTCCTCTGTGCTGGTCTATGTCAACTAAAATACAAGGCAAATCAACTTGACTGATTCTCTGGTTTTGCCAAACATGCAGAGCAATCCCAATAGTCAGATGTATACTATTGTTCATGAAAAAGTGTGAAAAACTGACTGAAACAGTCTAGCAGATGATAAGTTTCAGGCCTTTGCCATTAGAATCCAACAATACCGATCTTGCTCTACAGCAAACCCTCAGAGCTCTATCCCTAAGTCGAAGGCTAAAGTCAAGCTTGCTAACCGCCCGACGGTATCTGCGCCACCTAGTCCGACAATTACTAACCCTTTAAGTAGGCAAGCCACATCCAGCGTGACGGCTATTAACTCATCGCTAGATGCCATATCTCACGAGTTGGTCACACCGACACCGACAGTCTAGAGCCGGGCAACATGTGCATCGATCGCCTCGATAAAAACGCCTAAAGTGACACCCGTACGTCCATTTTTGTACCAAGCACGAGCGATGCGATGCCGTTTTCACAACGTACTTTAGTGCCCGCCAAACAATTCAAGTTAACAGCCACAACCCTGAAACCAACATTCGCTAAACAGAACCACAGTGCGTTAACGGTCGCATGCACCCACGTTCCTAAGTCCAGGACTGGCACAATAAAGGGCAAGATAATAGATGATCGCAACCAGTAGCATTCCGTCTGCGATGCGATTGGTATTCGGGTTGCCCCAAATGCGCCACGCCGCGTAACGCGTCACCCAAATTCAGTGCACTACGGAGAACCCCGATATATTCGAGTACGCTTGTATGCAACTGAGGAGACAGATAGTCATACGCTCAGCAGTTCATCTTCGCAACTCATCGAGCAGGGTACGCATACTACCCAAAATTCCTTGCAAAGGACGGTCAAAGGAAAAAGAAAACCATGGCGGTTTTTCAACGAACGCAAACAAAAGAACGTTCTTGTTCATAGTGTTTCTAAACTACCAGGCTCTCCTGAGCACGAAACACAAAACACGACCAAGAGCAGTGGTGCTACACCCGCGAAGCACTCTCTCTGGACCACGTTATATCTAAACCACTAACGAGAATTCCTTCATATCCAAACTACAAGGGCTGCGGTCCAAAAATATTGAAAGTTATGCTTCCGGTGAAATCCCATTTGACACGAACACTCGCTCATTTTCAGTCGGCACGATTTTGCCTTACGAACCTCGATTCAACAGTCCTTTTTGAAATCGAAGGCTTTCTATGTTCAGCCTTCTAGGGGGGGGGGGAGCTCGGAAGCGCCCAAAAAGATAAGTGCTATCTTTTATGTATAATTTAATTGTTGACCGAGTGTACACTATTCCTTCTTGTTTTAATCTTCCTTACAACCGGCTCGACACTCGACCGCCTTGTAAGTTCCCGCGCTCACGTGTTCGCTCTTGTCTCACTTCATCCGTCCGCGTCTTCTTGTAGCCCATCGAATACAGTCCGGGGTGTCCGACTCTAATTGCCTTCTGATATCCGCGCTTAATTTCGCGCACCTTCTCGGACTAGTATTAACTAGTCCTACAGATTTCATTGTGATTACGGAGACCTGGTTAAGCCTCGAGATAGCAGATTCGGAAGTCAATTTACCTGGAATGTCAGTGCTTCGGAATGACAGCTGGAAATGGTGGTGGGGCAATTCTGTAGTACAAGGCTAACCTCCGATGTGAAGTTATTGACTACCCAGATTCGCTTTGGTGTCAGTTATGGCTGCGGAACAAAGACACATGTCTTATAGCTGTGATTTACCGTCCACTAAACTCTACGTGTGGAATGGATTCCAAACTAAACCACGTTCTTCAGGTTGCTTTAAGCAAGATATGCAGTCACATTCTCATCGCAGGCGACTTTAACGTGCACGATCTGGAAATAGCGGCAACCGATAGCATGCAGTTCAAAGCCTGTTTACAAGAGCTAATTTCCAGCTACCCTCTGTACAACCACGTGACCCTTCCCACCAGATTTCGAACTGCTAACAAGCCGACGATAGTTGATCTTGTGCTCACCTACTAGGAACTGATGGTAGACGAAATAATTACAAGCACACCACTGGGTCGCAGTGACCATGTAACTCTACTATTTAACTATGTATGTTATGCGGAATATCCTGAGAAAGAGGATGATAAAGTGTATACGGTCACGCACTACAACGCGTTATCCGCGCTTGTTAAGGATGTATTTTGGACCTTCTTA